AAATGTCGAAATTCGAATTATCCGGTGGTTGTGTATTTTCATCAATGAATTGAGTCAAGTTGTTCTTAATTCATACTAGTGAAACGTTATGCATATACGTCTTTGAGTTGTTTTGTTGATAGATAATATCATCACCTAATAGTCGTTGACCTTCAGCTCGTGTATGTAGAAAAACAACAACTTCCACATAATTTTTGTGTGTTAATATATTTCACTGGATTCAACAAGGAGTGGAGATTTTTTAATATACTAAATCATACCATAATTCTTTTTTAAAATTCGACTGTTAGTCTCATTCGTCTACGTTCATCTACTTCTTGTCGACATGAAACACTAAACACGGTCATTATGATGATTGAATCTGTCATCCAGTTCAACATATTTTTTCTTGATCATTTTCTCTTAACGACTTTCGTACTCGATATGCAATTGATATTCTTCGTTGTTTGTGTTCGGCATGAAAATTTGACTCATGTGTAACATGATATAAGTATTTAAATGAAGAGATCCATCCTAAACTATATGACTCATTGCTTCTTTGGAAATACCAAGTGACGTAGCACTTTGATGGGGTGTGGGGCATGAGTGTGGGTGTGGTTAAGAGAAGAAGAAATGCACACCTTACCCTCAAGATAGTTCGATATTTTTTAGGAGGAACAGTCCTTGCCATCTTCTCCTTAATCGGTAACCTTATTCATGCTTCATATGTCTTCTCCACAGAATTATGATTGTTTCGCTAAATTTTTATTATAGAACGGAGTATTGCCAAGAAATTTCATCTATAAGGATATCTCATTGCCTTAAGAATATTCTAAAAGTTCCAATAAAAAATCTGTTGTTTTCTTCTAGAAATATTCAATATTCAAAAAAAATCTCCCGATTTTGTTCTAACCATTTCTTGAACATCTCACAAATGAGACAATCATTTTCGACTGAAATTTTTAGGATATTCTCCAGATGATAAGATCTACTTATAGACAAAATTTCAAAGTTGTAGTTCACTGATTTGATTCTTATATCAACACTTCGTCCTATGGATGAAAGTCTAACAATGTACGATAACTCACTTTAGGTGATTAACTTGTCAGTGGAAAAAATGCTTTACAACACTTGTAGACATGTGAGAATGTGTTTGTTTTTATGGAAGTCTCTCTATGTTCTATTGCAAATACTTATAGTTAACAGCTGATAATACAGATATTGATTTCATAGAGAAAGATGTGTTGAGTAGATAGACTTACCGATCATATCTAAGTGTCAGTATGAGGTGCATAGTTATGAAATACTTCTAATAATTGATTTGCAAACAGATGTAAAATGAAAAATATTTTCATTGAATAATTCAGAAATTTTCGTAGCAAAGACTTGTTGTTTTTTTAAATACACTATCTTATAAGTTCACTAATGTTTTATTTCATAGAAAATGACATTCAATTAGCTGGTTATAAAATTCTAAATGCTTTATGGATTATTGGGACAAAAGGAACACAACTTGTCAATCGGTAATTATCGATCTATGAAATCTTTAATTCATAATAAATGATATTTTTCTTTTTTTGTTTTTTTCAAGAGAATGGATTATTGAAGAATTGAATCTTCATCTTCCATTTCTTGGTGATTGTCTAAGTTCATTTACATCATGTTTTCCTGTAGCATCTTTTTAACTTGAATTTAATACAAATAATAAAAATACATCAAATGTTTCACCATTATCACCAGAAGTTCATCGTTAAAAAAACAAAAATTTTAAACTACAAATATAAAATAATTTAATTTCTATTTTAAATAGATGTTATGACAAATATTTTAAGAACAATTCGTAATTTAACAAGTTTAATAGCAGATATTGAAGAACATACTAAATCAAGAGTAAAATATGAAGATGCTCCTTATGTTGTTGAAGTTATTCTTCCAGGTCTTTATTCTTATCTATGATATTGGTGGTAAATGGGACCAGAAAAAGTTAAACAAATAACTGAGTATGAATTTTTCTTAGTTCTAAGATTATAGTTTTTAATTTTTGTTTTTTTTGTTTTGTTTATTAGACCACAGATAACAAATGTTACATCAAATCATATGAATTCTGTATTAGGTAGTGTTTTGAAATTAATTAATAACAATATTGATGCTATTGAAGCTCCATGGATGGAACGTATTGCGGATAAAATATTATTTTCTAGAGATGAATAATTAAACGATATAAAAAATTCAATATCTCCAATCTATATTATCCAATTCGGACTGGTTTTTTTTCTCGTTAACAAACGTTTTATTCATAAAAAAAACTATTTAGAGGCTGTCAACTGTACCCCATTTAGACTTCCAATGTTGTGCAAATCACTCGAAAACTCATACTCTCATAGAATATAGATATATATATTTATTTTCAGCAGCTAGATCGTTGCAGTTCATTATCTATACATCACATAACAATTTAATATTAGCATCGGTATACATCTATGTACATAGTATGAGATATAGCTAAGAATTACACACAACTGAAAGTAGGTATCTCGCGGAGTACATAGTAGCGTAATATAGTTTTCAAGATCAATAATGAACACTGAATAAGAATCAATTATGGTTGTACGAAATATACTAGGCGTGTAGCTCAGAGGATTCGGTATCCATCACAATGGAGAGGTTGAAAATCTTTATTAGAAAAAGACCATAGACTCTGAAAACCGTCAGTTATCCATGATCCTTCTGCTTAATTTGTTTTCATATTTCATTGTATGAACATTTTTTTAACTCTTAGAAAAATTTTAGATTTCAGTCAAAATCACGTCCCTATATGAATATGAGTGCTCTAATGCCGCTCGTACCAACCACATAGGCTGTTTTCGGATCTGATTATTTATTGAAAATGATACCACAAATAATAGCCCTTAGTAGACTTAACCAATAGAAAAAAATCAATGAACTTTTCTATTTAAGTTAGTGTCATTTTTCTGACTTGTCAATCTTAAACTAAAAAGAACATTCAATTCTCGGTAAGTTGTTGAAGTTTTTTCAATTTGAAGTCCGCTGTTTTTTCCTCTTGGCTTCTGGTATCATTCATATCATTTTTTTTTTATTCATTTATAAATAGTTATTAAATTCATTATAACACTTTGCTTATAAATTATTTGTTATTGTCTATGAGAGCCATCTGTCATTGTATTATTTTAAACATCGATTTGATTTGTTACTGGTGACAAGTAATTCAATGCGTGCGTGCGTACGTGCATGTAGCCGAATGCATGAATCAAAGTCAATTAAAAAAAAAAAAAATAACGATATTTTGATTCCGTTTGTTTATGTTGTTTCTTGAAAGAGAAAGACCTTGTTATGAATTTTAGATGACTGAAGTTCATTCCTTTGGCAATCTACCTGTGATTGCTCATGCTTGGAATAAAGATCGAACACGTATGTTCTTTCGTTTTTTTTTGTTCTTAAAATAAATTCTAATTTTCTAGAAATAGCTGTATCATTAGGTAAAAATGATGTTCGTATTTATCAAAAACAAGCCGGTAAATGGCGATTAATTCATACATTATCTGAACATTTATCTCGTATATTAGCAATTGATTGGGCACCTACTACTAATCGAATTGTATCAGCTAGTGCTGTAAGAATTAATAATAATAATTTTTTTTATCAATGAAATTATTATTATTTTTTTTTTTGTAATATTAGGATTATAATGCTTATGTTTGGTCATTTGAAAATAATGTTTGGAAACAACAAATGGTTGAATTACAACGAACAAGTCGAGCTGTTTGTTGTGCTAAATGGTCACCAAATGGTAAAATTTAAATAAATAAAAAAAATAAAAATAAAAATCTAATTTTTAATTAATTTTTTTTAGAAAATAAATTTGCTATTGGCTCAAGTGATAAAAATGTTGGAATATGTTATTATGAAACTGAACAAAGATTTTGGGCAGCTGAAATGATAAAAAAAAAACCAAAATCAACTGTTACTTGTATTGCATGGCATCCAAATAATCAATTAATTGTAGCTGGTAGTTGTGATTATCGTGTACGAATTTATTCAGCATATATAAAAGCTGTTGATGGTCAACCACAAGTATCTAGTTGGGGAACAATTACAAATACAGGAGATCTTTTACATGAATTTCAATCTGGTAGTTCAATTTTATATTGTATATTTTTTTTGTTTTTATTAGAAAATATCTATAAATTCTAGAATCGGGTTGGATTCATGATGTATGTTTTTCACCATTAGGTGAAAATCTTGCATGGGTATCACATAATTCAATTATATTTGCTGTTTCAGCAAAGAATTCATCTCGGTTAGAGTTTGAATTTTGAAACACACAGAATTTTTAAGATGAACTTTTTTTGTTTTTTTAGAACTACAATGGAAATTACAAATTATTTACCATTTCGTTGCATTATTTTTGTTAGTGAATCAACATTGATTGTTGCAGTATGAATAATAAAAAGCAAGAAGATTTAATTTTTTTTTTTTTTTTTGTTGATTTTTCTCAGGGTCATGAATTTTCTCCATTAATTTATAATTATGATGAACGAAAAGATTCAATTGATTTTGTGGAAAAACTTGATCAACAAGAAACATCAACTGGAAAACAAGCTGTTAAGTTAGTATTTTAGATTTTTTATTTATTTATGGTTTTTTTGTTTTTTTTTTTGTATATAGAGAAGAGAATGAATTTATTACGCCATATCAGGCATCGTACGAAGGATAAAAGAGTGTGTTTGCAGTGGTTGTTTTTTTTTTGCATGACTATTGAAGATTTGCACTTTTTTTTTATTGCCAAATTTTCTATTTCGTATGCTATGCATCCATTTGTATCTGAATAATTTGAAATTAGTCGTGTAAACAGATAGAGAAAAGACTGAAAAACAAAACTTTTTACTATTTATCAAAACCAATCGAATGGCCATAGCGTTAAACTAAAGGTGGTTGAACAGTTGGGAATGTTTACTTCGTGAGCCTCGCTTCCTGCCCTACAATTTTTATTTTTGTTCCTAGTTATGCCATTATATCTGCGCTTTTCATTATTGGAAAGAATGAAATAAGAGATACCCATTTGGATAATAAACGAAATTAATCGAATAATGAAAGAACTCACCGGCAAATTTAAAATATGAGTTACTGATGAGGGGAACATATCCAACCGTCGGATTCCTTTCGATTTCGTATTTTGTCTATGAATAGGGCTCAATGGAATTAAGAAAATCTTAAAAGGGTTCTGTCTCAAGCATGATTGTTTTACTAGATTTTTGGCCCCTGAATCAGCTATTCATGGAAAACTCAATTAGAAGATTTTCATCTGAAATAAGATATTGAAACTATGGACTTGTCTCGTGTATATATATACTTAAGTATTTTTTAGATATTCAATACCTCAAGAAGAATACATTTATTTGCGCTGAAATTTTTAGAATATTATACTAGCCGTGAGACCTATGTATGAGCAAAATTTTCACATGAAAAATCTCATAAGTCTGATTGAGTGATGCATAGGCGCGAACTCATTTAGGATTTTCTTAAATATACCGAGCCCTATGCATAGCCAAAATATAGAATCGAACAGCGTCCGACAGTTGAATATGTTCTCTTATATGATATTTGAATTTAAAATTTTGAATTGTTAGTATATAACATATACTGTAAGCACCTTAAAACTAGAATATATTCAATGGTCTTGAGTCATTATACATATAAATTCTTATGAAAATATTAATGAAATTAAATTCAGCTTTCAAAAGATTGGTACATAGAAGTTTTCTTTACATGTTCAAACATACAGCCTTGATATAAAATTTTAGTAGATTAATAAAAGCTTATCTTTTGTTTTTATTAGTCGTCTCTTTGATCAACCATCAATGCAAACACAAACACCTGAACCTATATCAACTCATCAAAGCATGATAACGTAAGATAGTTTTCTTTTTCAAAACGACTTTGATTTTCAAGAAAAAAAGAAAAATTTTATTTTATTAGACAAATGCTACCATATCAAACAGATCATACGAATATAGTTAAAATAAGTTCAACTGATTTATTTGGTCAAGTTGTTATTTGGAATTTGAGTGGAAGAGTAAGTTTATTTATTCTTATGATTCAATATATATATATATATATATATCTTATTTTCTCTATAGAAAATAAAAAAATGAATGATTCATAATCAACATTGATAAAATAGAACTTTTTCTCTTTTATTTGCTTGACAGTGTGAGTTTATTTGTGTTCTTTATTCTTATTCTTATTATAATCATCATCGTCCAAGATTCGCACATAAAATCACTGATTGTGCAATCGAGTGTATCTTTGTATTTTTCTATGAACTTTATCTGCGTTCTTGAAGCCCTCATTTTCTTTTTGTTTTTTTTAAAAAATGTGTCGCTTTCAATTTGACTTATGCTGTTTATCTTGTAAAAGTAATTTTTTTTTCCATTAAAATATAAACATCATTATTTGATATTTAACAAAAAAAAATAAACAATTTTAGGATTTAAATTTAATTTTTTCAGATTATTCAGAGATAAATAAATACAAAAAAAGGACAATCCACAGCAATATTGTTATTCATTTAAGTGAGTTTTGTTTTAGATTCGAAATAATCTAACTCTGCTATCTTAATATTTCTGATAATCAACCTGGATGTAACGAAGATGTTGACGTTTCAAAAATCTACCTAGTTGCTTTTCTGGGTCATCACAGGTCGATCGATAGAAATCGGAGATCTCATGAGAAGTCTTATAACTCTCGAATGGAACAAGCTAGAGATGTCGACCTTGTGTAAATCGATTTTCTATGTATTAGTCCTATTAAAAGTGTAAACTGTAAGGAAAATAGCTTCGAAATCTCATTTTTGAAAATCTTCACCAAGAACTCGCTTAATTGGTCAATCAAGTTTCGATATACTGCGATGATCCCATGTCTTCTCTCTTGAATGGTGAAAACTACAGATCTCAATATTGTTCCTATCAAAATTTATACAAAAAAACAACATTGCAGCACATTATATTTCGAAATAGATAGTAGTCGAAATTTTCCTAAAATAAGCGATCATCCCAATAGGAAGCATAGGGACGTACCAGAATTTCATCAGTACATTCTCCACAATTCAAACAATTGGCAAAAACTCACCGAACTTTCGGTTAGAGTTCAGCAGTTTCAGAAAGTGTCTAGAACCGTCGAATCCTAGGTAGAGTAGAATAAGGATGAGAAAATTTTTCTAGTTCAAAAAAAAGCTTACCTTGCACATCTCTACAAAACACAGATCTGCACCCAATAATTCGCGAAAGTCTTATTAGCGAAGAATAAGATTCCTCACATAGTTTGTCAAGGTGATCGTCTACTAATGATTTTGTTTGAAGACTTGTTCAAATAAGTTTAGTTTTTGAAACGATTCTATCAACCATTCATTCATCAGTTGATTATTTAGATTGTATTAACAAATCTTTGAGGAATGTGTAACTCTACCAACAATTGGGTTCTGCTTAAAAAGAAGGAGCTTGAGTCTACTCTACAGATGGCTGAGATACCTATATCATTTTTTTTACTGGTTGTGTCACTAACATAGATGAAGACAAGAATAGTAAAGTTATTTCATTAATAACTATATTGATATATTTGATAAATCTATCAATAGTCATACCAGTTAAGATAGCTACTTCCTATAATTGATTCGGCACTTATGTTGAACATATACACTAAATCAATAAGTCATTCAAATTATCCTACATAGTAGAAGACTTGTCAGATTTATTGATTTAGCTTAGATGAATAAAATATTATCAAATTTTTCATAGTTTATATCATATGTCCATTTATTAATGAAGTAGCAACATTACTCTTATATTCATACGTCATTTACATTTTATTATATGCATTATTGAATATGTGCAAAAAATATACGGGTTTTATTTTTCATACGTAAAAGTTGTACACCTTTGTTTTTGTTTGTAGAAAATAATTGTATCTTTTCTTTTTCTCGTCGCTTTGTATCAAAAAGACCTTGATAATGTATCACATGGTATGTGTTGAATAAATAAACTCATTTATTAAATGTAGCCTGACATTTTTTCAATTGCCATTTAAAATAATGAGTAAAACATTTCATTGTATTTGATATTTAATATATATATATTGAAAGAATGTCAGAATTAATTTTTATTCCAAGGAAATTATCTTTGTATGTATATATTCTTTTCAAATTAAATTTTCTAATTAAAATGAATCGTTTCTTTTTTTCCTCTTTTTGTTCTGTCAATATTCTTATTGACATAAAAACATAAAAACAAAAAACAAGTGTTTGACTACTATACATAATTCTGTGTTTTATATTCTTTCTCTTTATATCATTCTCATAAAAAAAAGCATAAAGAACAATAAAAGAGTTTGGATACTTGTATGTAGAATAGACTATAATCCTTAATACATCTCTATGCTTCATTGATTCCTCGATAAACATGTTAGTTTTCATGACAATTATTTTCAATATCATATATCTATTCTAGATGATTTAATTTTTCCGTTATATCTTTGAATTATTTTTTATTTTATTAATAAAACAAAAAACAAAAAAAAACCATTTACATGATGACAACATTTCTTAATTCTGATGCTGCATGTCGTGTAACGTCTCAAGAAATTATAAAAATTTTACAAACAGATCCTAAATTAGGTTTAAATGAAAATGAAATTTTAAAACGACGAAAATATTATGGTCATAATGATTTTGAAATTGATGATGATGAACCATTATGGAAAAAATATTTAGGACAATTTAAAGAACCAATGATATTACTTTTACTTGCATCATCATTGATTTCATTATTAATGAGACAATATGATGATGCTGTATCAATAACAATAGCTATTATTATTGTTGTTACTGTTGCATTTATACAAGAAAATCGAGCTGATAAAGAAATTGAAGCATTAAAAAGACTTGTACCACCAAAATGTGTTTGTATACGAGAAGGAAAAAGTCAACATATTTATGCAAGAGATTTAGTACCAGGTGATTTATGTATATTGGATATTGGTGATCGTGTACCAGCTGATTTACGTTTAACTGAAGCAAATGATATATCTATTGATGAATCATCATTTACAGGTGAAACAAAACCATCAATGAAAATGGTCGATTCAATTTCATTTGGTTCAAGACAAACATCGATTAGTGATAGACGAAATATTGCTTTTATGGGTACACATGTACTTAATGGAAATGCAAAAGTAAAGATAATTGAATATAATATATTTTTTTTTGAATTCTAATTTTTTTTTTTTTGAAAGGGTATTGTGATATGTACAGGTGAAAATTCAGAATTTGGAAAAGTATTTCAAATGATGCAACAACAAGAAGTAACAAAAAAAAGAAGACAAGACAAAGATAAAAAAAAAATTTTTTTACTGTTCTAGGCACCAAAAACACCATTACAAAAGAGTATGGATGCATTAGGAAAACAACTTTCATTTTATTCATTAAGTATTATTGGTTTTATTGTTATGGTTGGATGGTTACAAGGTAGACATCTTCTTGAAATGTTTACCATTGGTGTTAGGTATGTAGATATTATTCCGAGATATAAGTGTTTTCAATTTTATATAAATAATGTATAAAATAAACAATTTTCTAGTTTGGCAGTAGCAGCTATTCCTGAAGGTTTACCAATTGTAGTAACTGTAACATTAGCACTTGGTGTTCAACGTATGGCAAAACGTGAAGCAATTATTAAAAAATTACCTATTGTTGAAACACTAGGTTAAATATATTTATTTGATTTCTATATCTATTTATTAGTATATTTTTATTATTTATAGGTTGTGTAACAGTTGTATGTTCAGATAAAACAGGTACATTAACAAAAAATGAAATGACTGTGACAAATATTATGACATCAGATGGAGAAGTTGCTGAAGTATTTATTTATAATAAAAAAAAAAAAAATAGATAATAAGAAATCTGTATAATTGTATTATAATTTATTAGGTTACAGGTTCAGGTTATGATGGTCAAGGTGATGTTCTATGTGATAATCAACGAGTAACTTATGATTCTCATCCATTAATTTCAAAAATAGTCGAAGTATGTATATAATTTTTCATTTTCAATATTAACTCCTTCACTATCAAAGTTGTTTGGTTTTTTTTTTGTAATTTAAAATATTTAATAATAACATCGCAGAGACCAGTAAGGGTCGTGACTCTTGAGAGACATTACATGCCTTCACGCCATAACGCTGAAATAAAAAGGTCGAACTACCAGCACTTCTTCATAGTTACATATTCTAGGTGAGACTTTTGATTTAGTAAAAACTTTAATAAAATCTTTCAAACATCAATCATTACAGAGATAATGTGGACCGCATAATAATTATTATTGAGAGACAAATTTATCTTTAGTCGTTCTAACATGAAAATGTTGATTCGAATTTTTTTTTTTCATTTATATTTGAACTCGAATTAGGCAACTTATGAAACTACACAATTTACTTATGTTTCATTTGTTTGATTAGTTAAGTTACGCTTGATATAAGCATTTAGTCCAAAGTTATATCGTACTAGGTCTGTTAAAAATGATAAATGTGGCATTATATTGATGTCTTCTTGTCTGAAATAATTATTGTCATCTGAATGAATAAGAGGTCAAACATTGTTCTAAAGTAATTCTATACATGTTGCATCTGATGACTTTCTTTGTTTCCAGATTTCATTGACAATAGACTTAAGATAATATTCAATATAATAGTTGTGATTTATAGTCTTGCCCTTATCTACCCGACATATAAGTACAGGACTATTTGATTTAAAGAATTTAGAAAGTAAAGTTTTTGATTCAAATCTACTTGGACGAATCATAGTCGTTTGTGTACGTAATCCAGCTTTTGTTAATTGACTTGTGCCTAACCTGTCTATGATAAATTCATGTCTGATCACATAATCGCTACGATCCATCATCAAATTCAAACTCGTTGTTGCTTTTTTTTTCATCAATGAGTTTAGAATTGTCTTCGCATTTATTCCAAAAATAGTTCATGAATTTATTATTAGTTTTTTAAAAATATTCATTTTTTCTCGGAATTCAATTGTTGTCTAAAAGAACATTAGAACTAAATTTCATTTTCAATAGGTTGGAGCTGTTTGTAATAATGCTGAAATAATCAATTCTCAACTTCGTGGTCAACCAACTGAAGGTGCTTTACTTGCTGTTGCAATGAAAGTAAATAAATTTCTTATTTTAAAATAAATAATATTGTTTTTTCTTTTTTTTTTTATTAGATGAATGTTCCTCATCTTCGTGAACAATTTCATCGTGAACGTGAATGGCCATTTTCACATGAAAATAAATGGATGGCTGTACAATGTACACCAAAATATAATCCAGTTTGTATTAATTTATTGAAACTTTTTATACTTTAACAAAAAAACCAAAATCTATTTTTTAGAATGAAATACGTTTATATGTTAAAGGATCTATTGAACAAATATTAAGATTATCTAAACGATATTTACATCAAGGTGCGGGTGTACAATTAACAGATAATAAAATTCGAGAATTTTTGACGGATTCAAATCAAATGGCAGCTAAAGGATTACGAAGTAGGAATATTATTTTAATTCAAATAAAATTTATTTACTTAAATACTCATCAAAGAATTAAAAGAAAAAAATAAATAAATTTTTATTTTCTTATAAAAAAAAAATCTAACAAGAAAAATATCTAATTATTTGGATATCTTCTATTTGTATCATTAATAAACTTGTCTATTTATGAAACAATAAAATACTTCTAATTAAATCAAAATAAATAAATAATCTTCTATCTTTTAGTTTTGGCGATGGCAATAGGAACTTCACTTGAAGATTTAACATATGTTGGTATGGTTGGAATTATTGATCCTGAACGTTCACAAGTTAAAGAAGCTGTTGCTCAATTAAAATCAGGTGGTGTTATTGTTAAAATGATAACAGGTGATGCTGAAAAAACAGCAAAGGCAATAGGTAAAATATTCTAATTTGAAAAAAAAAAAGAACCAATCATTAAACTTTTCTTCTTATTTAGCTTTACGTTTAAATATTTATAAGAGTAATGATTTATCTGTATCTGGTGAAGATCTTGATCATATGAATGCAGCTGATATACGTGATATTGTTTCACAAGCATCTATATTTTATCGTGTCAGTCCAAAACATAAATTAACTATTGTTAAAGTAAATTTGATTGATTTTTTTAATGTATGAATTTAAAATTTTTTTTTTCTCTAGGCATTACAAGCTCAAGGACATATTGTTGGTATGACAGGTGATGGTGTTAATGATGCAGTTGCACTTAAAGCAGCTGATATTGGTATAGCTATGGGACAAACAGGTACTGATGTATCTAAAGAAGCAGCTGATATGATTCTTGTTAAAGATGATTTTTATACAATTATGTAAGATTTATATTAAAATGTTAATTTCTAGGTTTTATTTTTGTTTTTGCTTGTTTAGGGCAGCAATCGAAGAAGGTAAAGGAATATTTCATAATATACAAAATTTTGTTCGATTTCAATTGAGCACGTAAGTTTTAAATTTTAAATTAAATAAATTTTTTTGATTAATTTTTTTTTTGTTTTCAAGGAGTATTGCTGCATTAAGTTTAATAACACTTTCAACTGTTTTTCATTTTCCTAATCCATTAAATGCTATGCAAATTCTTTGGATTAATATTCTTATGGATGGACCACCAGCTCAAAGGTTTGTTTTTTGTTTTATTAGAAAAAAAAAAAAAAACTTCATCAATCAAAAATATTTAGTCTTGGTGTTGAACCTGTTGATCATGATGTATTAAAAAAACCACCAAGAAAAGTTACAGATCCAATGATTGATAAACGATTAATCGCTCATATAGTTACAAGTGCTACTGTAATTGTTATTGGAACTTTATGTGTTTTTTATGCTGAAGTATGTTTAAAAAAATTGGTTTAATAAAAAGTTTAGTTTTGAAATATATTTATTTATTTATTAAATTTAAGATGAGAGATGGAAAAGTAACACCAAGAGATACAACAATGACATTTACATGTTTTGTCTTTTTTGATATGTTTAATGCACTTAGTTGTCGATCTCAAGTAAAATATTGAAATTAATTAAATATTTATATTCAAAAAAATTCTTTTCTTTTTTTTTTAATTTTAGACAAAATTTCTTTTTGAGATTGGTCTTTTTTCAAATCGATTTTTTGTTGTTGCTGTATTTCTTTCTATTATTGGTCAATTAGCTGTTATTTATTTACCACCATTACAATATGTATTTCAAACAGAAGCGCTTAGTGCTGCAGGTAAATAGATCTACAGAGATTGTTGATAAACGATCAAAGATCGTTTATTAATAATGTCGCGTTATATTATATTGAAAAGATAGAATAAAATAATCTGCCTGTGATTAGCGAGAGTAACTATATCGTGTTTCATATTTTAATTTTACAGGAGTTACGCTAATATCTTTCTTTTGTACAGCAGAAAATTCTCTATGAAGATGTGAGAAGTGTAATGTTTTATTGATATATTCAGCGAGTTAGTTTTCAAAATTATCTTCTGTGATAGTGTGAAATGTATTCATTTAGTCTCATCGAGACCTTCTTGTGAACCGAATAGGAACTAAAACAGCAGGTGATAGTTGGGATAATTTTCTTGTAAAATTATTCTTGATTAAACTATAAGTGTTATCCTACATCTTATAATTATTATTCTATTTAGATTTATTCTATCTAACATGTTTAACATCATCTGTATTTCTTGTTAATGAATTTCGTAAATTAATCTCGAGAATTATTCTTAAACGTCATATTAATCGTAAAAGCATGATGATTCATCAATGGATGGTTTAGTTACAGATACAGAATTACTTTACAAATAGAGAAATAATTATCTCACCGTATTCAATACATATCTAAGACGTTTTACAAAATTGTAAATTGTCAATTATTCTACTTGTTTTTTTTTTTTATTTATTTCAACTTTTATTGTTATGTCTTGTCGTAAATCTGTTGAATTTTTTTTTCAAAAAAAAAAACAAAATACAAAAGAACAAACACAAAAGAATTATCTGGCATGCACATTAAGAATACAAGATGCATTATTGAAAACGAACAATTAATAAATAGAATGTTTAAAATAATTGAATAAACAAAATAAAAAGTGAAATGTATAAAATCTTGAAAATATCTCATTGCTAGACGATATTCGAGTAATAAATTGTCAACAATGAGATGTTTCTAAATAAATAATAATATTCTTCTTACGATAGAGGTTAATTCTTCAATATTCAGATGGAAAACCAAGTCATGTTACATTAATATAATAATAATTTAAATCAGTTTGTTTAACATTAATAACTGTTAAACATGATAGAATACACG